ATTGTACGCTCGATTCGCGCTTCCTACGGCAAATTAATGACGTGGAAGGGTCTCTAGTAGTCTTAGAGAACTTTATTTTTTGTGTTGTACTCTCTGCGAGCGCTGGTGGAAGAATGCTCTTCCAACGCTGGAAAGTCGTGGAAGAGCACCCGTGGATGGAGGTAGATTGTTTATTATTGGTCAAGGCACGAATCACCCCTTGGAGGGGGGTGTCTGCCTTGACCCTTGTTGGGGCCTGAGAGGGTTTCCCCAATGGTGGGACCTTTTTATGGCCCTTGTCTCTGGACGCAACAATTTTTTAAAATATAAATTTTTGAAATCGGATGATTCTTTCCGGGGAACCCTGTATATCTCTGATGAACAACGCGTGTACGATCGAATATTTCTCGGCAGCGAACAGCACTCGCGGTCGATCATCTAAGTCGCGGCATACATGTATCAGCTACGGTAGAAGTAGTGTCCGATCGATTCGTGAATGAAACGAAATGCATTGCACGGTGAATCATAAATCCTCCGCGTATATAGCCGGATGCATTCGCGAATTGCGGAGTCGATGGCAGATTGAATCGCGACCAGGGGTCGCGATATTGTTCCCGCTCGAAGAATCGCGACAATAATTGCATCGATTAATTGTGACCGATCCGCACGTAGGACCCGACGCATCCGAATCTGTTGTTCACTATGTTCCAGGTACAATAGAGGTAGATCTGGTTCAGCGACAGGATTGTCGGGCATTAAACTGCTGGCCGTGACGTTGAAACTGTTGAAGGAAAAGAGCCAGCTCTTGATACTGCCAATTATTATATTCATCGGAGCTGAACAGGCGTTTCTGTTCGCCGATTACAATGCTGTTAGTTGCTTTCTACCATCCTTCTCTTGACATCTCGTGGGCCTGTTTATCGCTGGAACTGCCACAACGGGGCAGCTCCAACGACAGCCGCGCGTCTCTTTGTGAGCATGACAAGAATTCGGAAACTGCTTTTCTCGATGCCGTTGAATGCAAACGGAAAATATGACTGTGCGCCATTGTTCTTCGAGCAAGATAAATATTATCTTAGTCCTCGCGACAGTTCGTCGTACAGCTTCCGGCAAAACGGTGCTTTTTGTAGACTTTTTTCTATGATTCCGGAAGATTCAACGAAGTTGATTGTTCAGTTCTCCATTCCATTTTGATTCCACCAACAATTGGTACCTCGTTGATTAATTGAATCGAGAAAAAATGAGAGACTTAGAATAATTTGTATATTTTCGTTTGCATTTAAAAGAAATTGTTAAAACTGTTGTACGCGTCTCATTATCATTGAGTTTCATTTAAATGCAAGACATTTCAAACGGACATATAATATATATATATATATAATTCAGAAAAACGAATTTAAATTTAGAGTCGACCCCTTGAACTACGATTTGTTTCACAGTTGCATTAATTAGCACTTTCTTATCGCCTATGAATTACTATACGAGAAAGACAATTTCTATTCATTGCACGCCAATCTTTATTATAATATTTAAATATTCATTATTGAAGAGTCGAGTTTTGCATCGCTTTGAAATAAGTTATACTCGAAATCTTTGTAATTAGTTTAATAATAAATATTAAATATTATCAATGTTAAATATTACAGCGCGAGAGATTGAAATGGTTTTGACATGACATAAATAGAATCCTAGAAAACTGTAGTATCAATTAGTAGAGAAGAAATAGAATGAGAAATCGGAATGAATCGAAAATTGTCGAACGATTCAATATAAGAAAACGTGATCGATTCGCTTGCGAAAATCAGAAGTCTCGAAACTGGTTTGCAGTCTGAAAGCGATTTCGCCGCAGCTGTTTCTGATTGAGTGACGTTGGTTGCAGTCATTTGTGTCCTGTGCCTGGGGAATTAGCAACATTGGCTACGTGATGATCTGCTTCGGTGTGACGAACGCTGTGGCTGCACTTGGGGCAGGTTCCATAATGAAGTTAACAGGGAGGAAGGCCTTAATGGTGTTTGCCTTCTGCCTTCACATGGGAATTCTCGTGTTCCTGCTTCGCTGGAAACCGACGCCTGATCAAAGCTCAATGTTCTTCCTCATGTCTGGATTATGGGGTCTATGCGACGCTATGTGGCTCGTTCAAGTAAATGGTATGCGTATCCGTCCTAATCTAGAACACGAGATATTGATACGATGACATTATTTAATATGAGAAAATATTTTATTGAGTCGTACGCATCGTTCAAAAATATTAGTATTAACATCAGTCAAACGAGCAACATTTGACCTAAACAACTGATGCTAATACATTTTAATTTCGTGCTCGTTCACTGTAGAATACTAACTTACCTTCTGCTGGCCAACTTTACCGGCAGCAGTAAAGATAGCTCTTTTCCTGAGCCGCAGCCAGCAACAGAATGCATTCGTTACCAACAGTGGGACATTCCATATCTACTGTCGATACAGTGCACCAACTGTTGAGAAAGCAACATCTGCGTTGTTCAACCGATGGTAACCGACTGTATTGATTTTGAAAATGTAACAATTTGAATGTGCAATTATTACACTGAAAATTTGAATGTTATTTTTTACTTTGACACGTTGCTCTTTCGAAATTCACATTCCTGAATGATTCATTCTAAGAAAACTGAACTAAAAATGTTATCATTAAACTGCAGATTTTATGCAGCCTTGATCAAACTCAGTAGATAAAATATAAAACAGAAAATCGATTAAAAGAATTTAACACTTCGATGAAGCCATTTCAATGATTGGACTGTGCCTAAGAGAAACTCGATGATTTTCATTTAAATATTAATTTCAATTGAAGTTGTAACATTACATGAATCTAAATAATTTGATGAATTATGCGTGAGATTATTGTGATTGTTAAACAATTTTATAAGAACCTCTTAACTCTTAGCCTTCGAGTTTAGACTTGGTTTACGACTTTTTTGATTTTCCTTTCTTAAAACTATTGCAGTATTATTATCTTTCGATGGTACAAATGCTCTCTTGTGTTCCATAAATTTGGACAATTTTGCAATAGTTGCATACAAATCTGCAATCTTGTAATTGCATAGTTATGTACGGACAATTTATTAATATTCTTCAAAAATGTATCATATGCTTTATGATTGAATTTTAAGCAACCGAGAAGGGTAAAATAAAATTCTAGATTCAGTGACGAGTTTCAATTGTCTCTAAATAATGCGAAGCTTTTATTTTAAATTGAACAAGGGTATTTGTGAGGGATAATTGTGAAATTTCCTCTATCAATCGTAATCAAATAAAGTATTCATTTCATCTCAAAACAAAACATATTTCAATGCTTTCTATAAATACTAGAGAAATTGAAAGAGTATCAACTTCAGTTCTTTAAAATAGAACTTCTTTATTTGACTCCTAATTCTTGCAATCGATGAAAAATATAATAAATATAAATATAATTTCAGCATTATCAGGCATCCTGTTCCCCGGAAAAGAGGAAGCAGCATTCTCGAACTTCCGGCTATGGGAATCCACAGGGTCTGTGGTCACGTACGCCTACAGTCCTTATCTCTGCACCCAAACGAAGTTGTACGTACTGATGGGAGTCCTCTGCCTCGGGATGGTCGGCTATGGTCTCATCGAATGGTCCGGGAAGGCCGATCGAAGAATTCCGGAACCAAAATCTGATTTCGAGTTGGTAGCAAACGGAGACGCGAACGATACAACGAAACTATGAATGAACATTCCACGAAAATTCTCCGACGAAAGTACTCGCGTAAACGTTAGTTGAAACTTGTAGCAGAAAGCGCAGAGTGTCCATAAAACTGTTCATCCTCGCGGAGCGGACTCAGGGCCCGATCGGACCCACATAATAAACATACTTTACGAGTTCGCCAGGCGAAGGCTGGGCATAAGTTTCGTGTTTCCAATTGACGGTGAAATCGATAGAGAAGATAAATGATTTCGTAGACACTCTGGCTGCGAAAAGATTGTCGAAAAATAGGGAGCGAAATAAACAGTTGCCTTTTGTTTTATACAAATTTCTGTTGTTGACATTGTTTTGGAACCTCCAATAGAAAATGTCCTCGTCAAAGCGATGTGTTCAATGCTCCATGGACACGATTTATTTTCGAATATTTATTGACAGAAACAGAAACAAGTTCGTCACTGTGAATTATAAATATATATATAGCCCAAATAAGTAACATATTCAGAATATCAATTTATTATAATCGTAATAATTATATTCAATATTGTTGCAGCAGTACTATTCGTGGAATAGTCTTCAATATCTGTTACAATGATTGAAAACCCTTCTGAATCACGTGGAACAAAATCACTGTCCCTGTTACAGAAAAATTCTCGCTTCTATATATTATATCGTAAGTCTTATCGAAATGAAACAAGTGGAATACGTGTCCGAAGAAAGTCGTCCCACCGCGTTTGAAACGGAACCTAATGAGAATGCTTTTATCGAAATTCATACGATCCCGTCGGTGTAATTAGTTTCACTGGAGAAAATTCCGCTAGATTGTACGAATCGAAAACGAACAACGCAGTGGAAACGTTCTCGTAATACGATCGTGTAAATAATGTATAATTCCGCTATACATAAGAATCATACATAGAAATGATACATAATAAAGAGTGTCGGGCGCGAGTAAATTTACGTTTTCTGTACAAGTATAGCGCGCGTGTTCAAGTCAGGACCTGAAGGTATGATCTTTGTGTGATTTGTACCACAATATATGTTTTTATTTTATTCTTGTGGACACCTACTAGATTTTACACAGGTATTTTCGCTTAAACGCTAAAGATGTCATCCCTCCGTTCTCGCTTTAAATATGTTAGTTTAATGTTACATCGTGTGTATCTAGGTGCTAACATTCAAGCTAAAGCTACGGCTGCTTAAGTTAAATTGTATACTTAATGTGCTTAATTGCCACTTCGACTGGTACCGGTGTCATTGTGTGATGCGATTCGACGCGACGCGGTCCGCGTTCGCGATCATAGGGTGTGTGTTTTTTTTGGACGCGTGTGCGTGGTAGTTCGCGTCCGTCTCAATCGCTCCCCGTATATTATATCTGTGTGTGATACCGATTCTATAGTGTCTCTGTGTGTGAGAGTATGTTCTTTTCGCGGGTGTCGTATGCCGATCGTTTTCATTTATCTTTTTTTCCGCATTTTATTGTGCCGTCACGATCAATTGTCTCCCGTCTTGAGGATCGAAGGCGATGGCTCTGTTCACGAATCTGACGGCGCTCCTCCTGTCACTTCCGGCGTTTCCCCGACGACGAGGCTTCCTCCCGCCGGACGAACGAATCGCGACGTGGAATCAATTGACCCTGCATACCTTCGTGCTAACTCACCGTTTCGGTTCGCTTTCATTATTTTTTTCTTTAAATTTTTCCCTCGCCTGATTGTGGATCGTGTGCTAGCTTAACCCTCGTTATGTACAATTCAAGTTTTGCAGTTCAGTTTATATACTTTATAAAACGTAGTAGGAACTTTGGTTTCGCTGGGCAATGTTTCAGGAGCAGTTTCCTCTTGTTTCTCTGGCTCGTTTTCTTTTTTCTTCTGCTTTTAATCGTATAATCGTATCGTTTCGCTTCGTTTCATTTCGTTCGTACATCGTTTACTCTGCTTTTCGTTATGCTTCGTTTTTTATGTTTTTGTTTTCTTTTTCTTTTGTTACTCATTGAAATCACTTTCTACTATTTCAGAATGATTGCGGTCAGGAGTGCACGTTCTCTATTTGATTTGATTTGATCTCGGTTTTTGGTTCGCTGCGACTTTTGGTGTCCTGGACAAACGATTCTACCGGAAACTGCTATAAAACATTCGCCCGTGGATCTATCTTCCTTAGAAATATGACACTCACGAATACAATTCACGATTTTTTTTGCTTTTAATACTCATGTTTATATTTCCGTAATGACCTATTTGAATATCAATTTCACGAAGAAAATACACATGATTTGTAAACTCTCTCGCAATCTTTCTCTCTCGCTCTCTCGCTTTTTTGTTTTTTTTTGTTTTGTAATTCAGTGCTTCGCTTTCTCTCTCGCTCACTCCCTCTCTTGCTCACGTTTAATTTTGTTTCGCCCGTCACGCGCGCGCGCGCGCCATGCTCCCCCGCACTCCACATTTTTTTTCTCGTATAACAAAATTTAATAACCGGAATATCTCTGTACAAACGTGTTTCATTCTTTCTTTCCTCGTTCTCTCTATCAAAAATGACAACATACACATCTATCTCCCGTCTCCCCCCTCCCCCCAAACGCTCCGTCGG